GGACTGGTGATTATCTCTCTTCCCCCCCCCCCCCCCCGTAGCTTTTCTATACCCGGGGGGCAGGGCTGGGCACGAGGGCCCAGAGGGGCATTGGGGGTGGGGGAGTCCCCCCCCCCCACCTGCTGTTAAAGACATTTCCTGGGGGGGTACCAGGCTGACCTGGGCGAGTGGGGGTGCAGGGTTAGGGTCAGTGTAGGAGAGGGGGTGGGGTCAGAGCTTAAGGGTGGGGGTTACAGTTGGGGGGCAGTATAAGTAGAGAGGGTGGAGCAGTGGGGGTCAGTATAGGGAGAGGCAATTGGGGTCAGGGTGTGGGGGTCCACTGGTGAGGGAGAGAGTGTGGGGGGTGGCTGTGGTCAGGATTTAGGATCAGTGTAGGAAGGGCAGTGGGCCGGGTGGGAGTGTCTCTGCATTCAGCACCATGGAGCTCAGCAGCCTGCTGAAGTCCCTGCAGCTGGAGAGCCCACCAGACAGGGGAGACCCCGAATGCCCAGCTGCCACTGCCCCCCCAGCAGAGCAGGTTCTCTCCCAAATCTTGTCGCTTTTCTCAGCGGAGGGAGTCAGCAGCAGTGCCAAGGTAGGGATGGTCAGGGACCTGCGTGTGCTCTTCGAGGCTGCAGACTGCCAGTGGCTGTTTGGGGGCTGCCACCCCAATGTCACCCCCAAGTTGCTGGGGGACTTGGTGGCTGCGCTGTGCCACTATGCAGCACTGCCAAAGCAGGAGTCGGACACTGGGGGCCCAACCAGCAATGATGGCTTTTACACCACAATGGCCGATAGAACAGCAGACGTTGGCTTGGTGTTTCTTAGCCTCCTTGCTAAAGTGGAGGGATCCAAGTCCCTGGGTGCCGTGGTGGTGAGGCAGGTCCTGCCACATTGCCTAGGACTGATCTACATCTTTGCTGCAACACACCACACAGAGAAGCCGTGGACCAGCCCGAGGTCTCAGTCAGTAGCACAGGAACTGCTGACCTTGCTGGTTCAGGTTGCAGGCTGCGGGTCAGTGGCTGAATTTCTCCAGGGAAGAAGCGAAGATGAGGAAGGGAGGTTTGCTGCTGTGATGAGACTCCTGAAGCCAGAGCTGACTAAGTAAGTAAGATCAATTGCCTGGGGGGGGGGGTTGCTTGGTGAGGCTTGGCACTAGTGGGCCAAAGGACTGGAGATACTGGTGAGCATTGCAGTGAGGTGAGGGGCACTGCTGGACTGTGGTCAAGTTCTGAATCTATTGAAACACTTGTGATTTCAGGAATAAATAGTTCACTGAACAAGCTTTACTGAGAAGATAGGGCAGGTAGCTGAGATCAGTGAGGGTGCCTGGGTTGGGGAGAATCAATTAGCCAAACATTGGATCCCCCCTAAAGTTGTATGCACGTTGCTGACTGCCCCTCTGGCCTGGTCATTGTTCAGCACGTTACTGAAATAAACAATGTGCCTCTTTGGGGCCTGTTCTTGCACTTGTTCTCCTTGAAGTTAATGGGAGCTGTGCAGAAAATCAGGCCCAAGGGGTTTCAGAGGTGTACCCCCAAAAATAAGGCACCCAAAACCAGAGGCTACAGAAACAATGGGTCATGGTTAGCATAAAGATGCTAACTTTGTAATGTGGTAACACAGTTAAATAGAGAGAAGGGATAAGTATATTACTGTATAATGTTTCTCTAGTCTAAACAAAAGTCACTGTTGCAATGATTGATTATTGTTATGTCTCTGATATTTACAGGGCAATTTGTAAATAGCTAAAATAATAATAATAATAATTTGTGGTTACTTGTGAAAATGTTCCTGTTAATGTTTTATTTACTTGGAATCTACTTTCTGCTGCTAGTTGCCTTGTCATCTTTTTGCTGGTTAAAGTGTCAAAGACTTTTTACAGAGCAAGAAACTATTTGATTTAAAGGGAGAAAAGGTTTGCATATAAAAAAAGAACAAAAGTCTGCCCTAATCACGGATTAGTCCTGGTCTGTGACCTGAATCTTGTTGTGTGATGCTGCAGTGAAACCATTAGGGTCACGTTTGCTTTGTGCATTTTTCCAGAGAAACTTGGAAGCGCAACCCTGCCACAAAGCATGTGTTCTCCTGGACGCTACGTCAAGTCACCCGGCCATGGCTTAGCCGTCACCTGGAGAGTGTCCTCCCACCGTCACTGCTCCTCTCGGATGACTACCAGGAAGAGAATAAAATCCTGGGCGTGTGCTGCCTGCATCATATCATTCTCAATGTGGTAAGGAAAGATCACTGCTGGAAGGAGGAGGGACCATGTTGCCATAGGCGAACATAAGGAGGAACTGTGGTCTAATGGTTAGAGCAGAGGACTCTTGAGTCAGGATTCCTGGCTCTGCTGTTAACTCTCAAGATGACACTGGACATGGCACACCATTTCTCGGCTTCATTTTTCTACAGTGTTCAAACTGCAGGAATAGTGGCAGCTGGAAAATATCCATGTCCATCTGTGTGTGACTCATAAAAAGGTGGATGCTAATCGGGGCTATTTATAAAATGCTGGGCAAATCTTGAAGTATTTCCACATATGTTCCCAATTACTTTAAAGTTAGTTTTGTGGGGGTTTTCCTGGCACTGCTGCTGTGTGCTGTTTTGTAGTTTAAGCAGGAACTCAGTTTAATAATAATAACACTTTTGCTTTTCTCTAGACCTTTCACCTAGTATCTCTTTATAGACACACATACCTTTACCATCTCCCCCTCCTGCCAGGTTGGTGACTATTCACCCATCTATAAAAGATGGTAAAAAAAAACTTATGGCCACATGGTGAGTAATGGAAATAGAATTCAAGTGTCCTGTTTCCCAATTCCCTCTAAGCATTAACCAAACAGCACTCCTGGCTTGCTGTTCCTCTTTTGGAGGAGTATTTTAATAACCCTGGTTTGTAAAGCACAGATGTGCTATTACATTCTCCCTGGACTGTGAAGTGTAGCACAGCTAGTTTCCTGTTCTCTTTGTAACAGAGCTGAGGTGATCAGCTTTGTACAGAACTGCTGAATATGCTGTATCTTCCATCACATTGAATTACACACACTTGTTTCTATGGTGTTGCAGCCAGCTGCTGATTTGAACCAGTTTAACAGGGCACAGGTTGTCTACCATGCACTGTACCATCACCTCTACGTACGGGAGGCACAGCTCATTCAGGTAAGCCACTGTGGTTTAGTCTAAACCATGATCAATCCTACTGGGATTTTAATTAATATAATGGATAGCTCAGAGGATTGGGATATAGAACCTCCATTTTCTAGGTCACCCTTTCTAATCTAGCCTTAGGTTACTACTATCTGACTATTGGTTAGTGGCCCCCGTATGAAATGAATTTGGATCTCAGTTAGGTCTTAATGGACAGGGAAAAGGACCCCACCTCCTGGCCCCCCTGTTTGCAGTCTATGTGGAGAGGCCAAAGATGTGAAAGGCCATGAAAGAATGACATACATTCTGGTGCCCTAAGATGGTGATTCTCAACTAAGGGTA